TAACACATCTGGAGGACACTAGGTTGAGGAAGGCTGGCTTAGCTTATCATGCTGTGTCTCAATTTCTCTCCTTCTCTCCCCCCCCCCTCTCTCTCTCACACACACACATCCTCCCCACTCTTGTCCAGGAAATTGTTTTTTTTTTTTTTGCTAAACAGACCTATTGTTCCTTTGGAAGATTGCTGTTTTATGCAGGTAAGTGCTATCACAACACACCAAAAACTGTAGGAACAGGAATGCTTCTTGTTATTTAATACAGAGCAATTCACAGTAACACTATTATATTTTGTGAAAGCAAGTGCATTCTCAAATAGTCATACCTTCTACCTTATTTCTTTAGTGATTTGAGGTTTTTAAACTGCAAAGACAGCAGGATTGCAAGGGTTTGATTATGCTGATTGGGACAAATTCACATTGGCATACATTGCATCTAACCCCATACATTTGAGCAGAACTTGTATAGGAATATTTCTAAGGACAGGATTAGAGGAATAACGGACCCCCAGATCTTGTTCTTCAGTTCCCATCAAGCCTAACCTGGTGGTTAGGCTTGACAGGAACTGAAATACAACAACATATGGAAGTCCATTATTCTTTAATCCTGTCCTTAGAAATATAACCAATGGTGAGACACAGTGGAGGCTCTATTCAACAACATGTTCCCACAGGTTCTCTATATCTGTTTTAAGGAAAGGATTTGTAGTGTTGCACTCAGAGTGTATTCCCATGGCCCAAGCTTTCAGAACAGAACAACTGATTTGTAAATATTTGGAAAGACAGATTTTTTCGTTCCTTGAAATCAACAAAAACACTAGCAGAACACAGGAGACCCTTTGTATCACAGTTCGCACCTATTCCTTATCTATTAAATTGGCACAGCACCTTCTCTGTTTGTTACTAACATGCTGAACTGACCAAGTAATCTGCTACCAGAGCAGTAAAGAGTCCATAGAGCTTCCCAACTAGGAGCTCTCCATTCACCTCAATGGAGTACTGCACAAGAATGAACAGAAGAGTATCTTCTATCCAATTCAGTTTTTCTCAGATTCTCGGTTTCCATTCTTAAATTGATTCTATCCAAATTCTGTACCAACTTTGTATAAACACACATGCAATATATGCTAAATATATACTACACAAAAAGATATATGCATGATTGTAAATTATGTATATTTGTAGAGAAGTGCACAATTTTTCTAGCAATTTTCCCCACTATATTGCATTTTTAAATGGACAGAGATTTCTGAACACTTTCACCCTAATAAAACACATTTTTGGCACATATTTTTCAGTCAGAGAGTTGGACTACCAAATCCAAAGCCGTGGGGATACAAAAGGATAGGTGCTTTTCCATTTAACTTCCTGAATCAGGAAGAGCAAATTAAGCAGGTTCATATTAATATGTGATGGAATGGTTTCTCCTTCTGTCCTTAAGTAGAATGCGGTATGTACATGACAAACCATCCACAACTTGTATATGGGAAGCATTTATGGGCAGTAGGTTAACAGTCAATGATCAGCCCATTTTATATCTTATATTACGGTAATTCACAGCCTTTTCACTGTGCTCCCCATTAAACGCAAAAGATGCTGTCTTTGTTTTTGTAACAAAGAGAATTCATTGTCAGCTGGGCAGAACCACAGAGCAGTGTAGATTTGTGCAATACAAAGAAAGCTATTGCCTTTTTCATACATACAAATAAAGAAGGAAATTGGGATTACATTCTCCTTTATGAGAAACTGGGGTGGGCTTTGGGTTGTTGTTGTTGTTTTCCTTTTCCTTTTATCAGTTTGCAAGGAGAAAATCTGGAGATGAGAGGAAATACCATAAGCTGTTCCTGCTCTTAGGGAATTCTTCTTGTTGACATATTGTGTATTTGAAGGCATATTTCCCCACCACCACCACCCCATTTTTTCTTCTCCAGTGTTGGGGAGGAGGCGGTATTCACATTACTGAAAAATAAAGGCAGAGATTTGCTCTGCTGCCTGTTCAGCTGAAGGATCCTTTTTTTCTTTTTCTTTCAAAAATGCAGTCATTTCCCTCTCCCTCCTTTCCCTTCCCATCCTTCCTGCTTTCATTAGAATGCAAAGCCAGCTGGAGGTTCCCTCCCTCCCTTCCTGAAGGGTTGTTCCTTCTCTGAAGGGTTATTCCTCAGCTATTCTATTTATAGATCCACTTGCACTTGCTGCAGGGAACTCACCATTTGCTGTTCAGTAGGGAAAGGGGGGGGGGTGTCTTCTCTCTTTGTGCTCATTTGGTCTCCTGAGGTGTTAAAACATTTTCATAAATCCTGTGAATGACAAGGCAGGGGTGGGAAGGATCAGATATTTTACAGCGCATTAGGGCTCCCATCAAAAAATATTTTATTTGTATTTTATGTGTCGTTCAAAAGACTGTGTATATATGGGATGGGGAGGGGCACATCAGTCATCTCACAGTACATAGAAGGGAAGCTTCCCTGCTCTCCATTTTTGGGAGGTGTTTCCATTGCTTTCGGCAGGAGGATTTTCTCCTCCTCATTACCAAGGAAACTATCTGGCAGTTGGACAAAACAGATGCGCAGGGAGAGAAATGGGGATTGGAGTTTCGTTTCAGTCAGGGGATGACTGTCATTCAACATCATTTATCTGATCACCTTTACTGCCGGGAAGTGCTTCCAAAATAATGCAATACTTGTTTTTCTCTTGTTGTAACAACCCAGCCAATTTCTACAATGCAGTCTCTGCTGCACGATCTGCTGAGACAGCGCATACTACAAGTGACCAAAGACAAGGACAGGCAGATCTTGGACTTCAGTGGAGCTCATTGCTCAGGAATGTACTTCACAGTTAGTATGATCTCAGGAAACACCTGTTGAAATAGGCCTGCAATTTAAATCCTTTGGGTCAGGAGTGAAAAGGCTGTGAGACTCAATCCAGCCCTCTGGGGGTCCCAATGAAGTCTTCCTGCCTGCACCAGAGGGCCATGCCATAATCCCATCATATGATGGTTTTCCAGCCTTTGTTTGAATTTCCTCCCCATTCTCAAGGGTTTCTAGCCTATGGAACCTTGGGAAGTGTCATGGCTCTAGCCTATGGAACCTTGGGATTTGTAGTTTGGTGGTATACTTAGAATTCTCACATAGAGAGTTCTAGTGCCCAGACTACAGCAGTAGAATTCTCTCATACTACAGTATTCTCAGTACTGTTACAAATTACACATCCTAGGATTTCAAAGAATGGAGCCATGACAATCAAAGGAGATTCAAATAGTGTAGGTGCATGCTTAGTTGTTGGCAATCTGAGCTTTATGTTAAAATGTGTTGGTATCTTTGCATTCATCCTTTGTCTGACCTTGCTTGGCACTGCAGTTTGAGAATTCATCTGAAATTGAATTCAGCCCTTGAGCTAAGAGTCTGTCCACTGTTGCTTCACATTGTTAGGCAACTGCAATGAATGAAGCCAGACTAAAAGCAGAAATGGCTTTGAAACAAAGTCTGCTGCTGAGCAATGGTATGATGGACTCTGTCGCATGCTATATGCTTCAACATTTTCTGCTTTCCTCATGAGATAGGCAAACATACATTTGCATGCACAAATACCACTAAGGTCATGGCCACCATAGTCCTGGGTCAAGAAGGTTACCTGAAATAATAAAATTCTTTAGCATGGCAAAGATGATAAAATAATTACATAAATAAAAACAAGGTAAACCTGCCAGATTTCTACCTCTCATGCAGCAACAGCAGAGGCAATTGTCTTTTGTGATGTTATGGAGTGTTCACATATCACTGTAAAAGCTGGTGCCGGTAATTTATTTCTGTACACAGGACAGCACTGCTGTTCCTCAGCTGCTGTCCATAAGGAGATCCAACCCTAAAAAATCAATTGAAGGGGGAGCATACTTACTGTGAAATCACCAATTAAGGGCTAGAGATCTCTTCAGGGTAGACAGCAGCAACTTCTTCCCTGATATCCTGAGGCGGGTAGCACAGGTAGATTTATGTCTGCTATCTGCACTTCACTATGAAATTGCCTTATGGCACAGGTTCAATTTCTTCAAGGGAACCTGGATTTGAAATCCAGCTGTCCTGCACACTTCTCACTAACTACCTTTCTGCATGCTCATTATGGCTCCTGTAGTAATGTGCTGCAAATCATAGCAGTGTGTTGAGACAATTACAAATAAGCAAATTAGCCACCCTACAACACAAGCATTAGCTTGTAATAACTCACCAGCCCAGCTGAGTGATGTGATGCATATGCATGCCAAACTCACAAATTATAGGAGTCGAATAAATCTGGGCATGGGAAGCAATGGAGAGGAGGCTCAACAGAACATGATTTGGATACTCTACATCCCATTTATTACATTCTCAAATTGGCACCATTTTTAACAGTTGGTGCCAATCTGTTGGGTCTCACCTTGGGTCATATGCTGGGAGAAGGGTGGGGAATAAATAAATAAACCTAAACAATTGTCTCAAAATATAGAGTTGTTCTCATAATTCCCTGGCAGTATCAGGAAGCAAACACCTTTCCTGTAAAACCTCTTGGGTTTGGATCATAATCTGAGTCAGTCTGTCTCCTTTGTTCTTAAATAAACAGCATCAGCTTCTCAGGGCTCACAAACTAAACAGAATTAACCCCATGAGTTTTGTAATTAACTTGTCAACTTTTAATTTTTTTTAAATAGCAACAAAATGAGGTAAGGAATCTGGAATAATGTACATTTAACCATTTTAAGCTACAACTCTGATGTATCTGATATGGAATTTTTAAATTTTTATAAATCATAAATATATAGTTCAAATAATTAATTTTTATTGTTTCATTTATAATTTAATTAATTACAGAATCATTGTTGTTGTGTGCCTTGAAATCATTTCTGATTTATGGCACCACTAAGGTGAACCGATCATGAGATTTTCTTGGCATGTTTCTTCAAGAGAGGGTTGCCTTTGCCATCCTCTGAGGCTGAGAGAGTGTGACTTGCCCAAGGTCATCCAGTGGGTTTCATGTCTCAATGGGGATTTGAACCCTAGCCTTCAGAGTCATAGTTCAACACTCAAACCACTGTGCCACACACTGAATTACTTAGTTTTATACATCTTGTGACTGAGCATTGTTTAATTGTTAGACAGTAACTACAGTTACTATTTGAGGAATGCCCATTAAAATGGAGATTTTGAGAGACAGAGAGATTTGTGTCTGTGTCTGTATACCCTTGATCATAGAGATTATCTTGAAACATGTTGGGAACTATTATCTGTGCACCTATCTTTCTCACATTTTGAATTTATTTTCTACGATTGTTTTGATTCTGTCTTATTTGTTTTCAGTTAACCATTTCCCCAAGCAATAATACCAACAAAATGCTTTACTAAACTTGTTTCTCTTTGAATGGAGAGAACAACTACAGAGCAGCAATTTGAATCAGGATCATGGTGCAATGTAACATCACCATTCCTTGTGGCTCCTTTTAATTGGGGAAAACACAGAGACATCACTGGTTTCACCTTTTTGGCCATTATGCTGTGCTACTAAATGTGTGAGAAACAGAAAAATTGCATTTTGAATTTGAAGGATTGAGGCAGAGTTAAAAGAATATAGCTGAAGGTAATTAAATGGGACATAATACCGTACTTAAATGGCCAATAAGAGTTACTGTCTGAGAACCTGATGCAAAATTTGGTATTTTAAAACTCTCTTGCCTCTTCTCTGCTCTGTCTGTATTATGACTAAATAGAAAATAAATATTACAAAGATGTAATAAGTAGGTGTGATAAGTTTCCTGTGATCTATTATTGAAAGAAAACTAAGGACTTTATCACACTGCTTTTTAAATTGATTTACCTCTTCCGATTTAAATTTTAATTCTGGCAGCATCCTGATGTTATCAGAAGAATTTTTCTGCCCAATCTGCCACCTGAATACAGCCTGGGTCCATGCCTGTGTGCTCCAGCAGCAATTTTCTTAAGTCAGAAGTTTTCCAGCTTCAAAAAGAGGCACGCTAAGCGCCCCTGTGAACAGAGATGAACCCAGCCTGTATTTGGGTGGCAGATTCAGCAGCAAAATCCTTCTGATAACATCAAGATGCCGCCTGAATTAAAATTTAAATGGGGGGGGGGTAAGTCTATTTAAAAAATGGTGTGATAAAGTCCTAAAATTCCTGTATTATTAGCCCTGGAACTTCACACTGATCAGGTAACTGTGGGGTTGTTTACAACACATAACAAAACCAGGGAAACAAGACACCCAAGTGACTCATCTTCTTTCCATATTGTACAGTGTGTGAAGTGAGATGCATAAGATCCATGAGCCCCAAATGAACACTTGAAGGCTGACATATGTTATCATGGGTAATATTCACAAATCCCAATTCACCTATTACATGAGGAGCTGGTAATGGAGAACAAAGAAGTCATGATTCATCTTTTCCATTTGTATTGAATGTACAAGTGATGGTCTATGGTGGAAGTACGTTTGACTGCTTAAAGCTAGGTTTGATTCAATTGCATATAAAGAGGAGAATTTAAATATGGTAGAGCAAAAAGTGTAAGAACGGAGAGATGCTAAATCAGGGGTAGGCAAAGTGTGGCCAATGGGTCGCATGTAGACCTTTTGAGACCTCCCAGCTGACCTCTCTAGTCTCCAGTCCCACCAAAAAAAATTAATTTAGGGGCAATTTTTTGTCCCCAAACAAGGCAAAACTGCCAAAACATGGAGGATATTTCTTCCCCTAACTCTGCAAAGCCCTTCAGACTCGCCATATATCACAAAAGAGAAACAATCACTTTTTTGTTTCTGGCCAAAATGGTACCCAGAAGTGACATCACATCACTTTAGGTGTGCCAAAACTCCTTGGTGTGGCCCACTAAACGTTTGGAAGGATTATCTGTAAAATTGCCCCTACTCTCTGGGGAGATGTCTTGAGAAATTCATTGTCCTCTGCCTACAAAGAGGCCTGTGGCCTCACAGGAACGGAGACATATTGGATTGCAAGCGAGAAGTCCTTGTTGAGATGCAAATGGACTTTAAATTTCCTGGACTTTGAAAATCCCCCAATTGCCACATGGCCAGAAAGAGGAGGAGCCAGCTTGTAAAATATATCCTCTCCATACCATCTTAACTAAAGACAGAAACAACAAAATGCAGGCATCTTACTAACATCTCCAATTCTTCTCCTGTTTGATTTGTAACATCTTGCCTGATGAGGAAGCCTGTGGAACTTCGAAAGCTTGAAACAAGTATATTGTGCATTTAGGTTGGCCAATAAAGGTATCACTGTTTGAGGGATTTTTGTTTAAATTAGAAATGTTATGTTCTATTACACTTGCATAACCACTTGCATCCAGAGTATCTCTATAGCAATTGCCACATACTATTGTTCACACCTTTTTTACTGTTGCCTTTAGGGTTAGGGTTAGGGTTAGGGTTAGGGAATCATGGGAACTGTATTTTATTATGGCACCAGAGCTCTCTGACAGAGAACGTTCAATGTCTCAGGAAAAAAACAATTCCCATGATTCCCTAGCACTAACCCTAACCCTAAAAGTGGACTATTTGCACTATTTCTGGCAGTCTGCAACCCCCCTTAATTACCAAGAAAACAATCCTATACATTTCTCCTCAAAAGAAAGTCCCAATTAGTTTGGTGGGACTTATTCACAGAAAAAGCAGTATAGGATTTAGGCCAAAGAGAACATTAGTTTTTAGTCAATGCCCAAACTAGTACTGAACTGTGTGGCAGTGCATACATGTGAGTGAACATGTTTGCATGTATGAGTACATGTACAAGTGTACATTTTTGAGATTTCCTCTTTACATTAAAACTGGGGCATTAATTCCATTACTCCGAGGGGAATGGGGGAAATCACAGCACCCCCCTTTTCCATGGATTGCAAAACTGATCTCTAAATTATCTCCATCTATCTTGTGCCATTTTAAAAAAAAACATTAAATGTAAAGACATGAATTTTTGATGTTCATAGGGCAATTCAGAACAGCAATCTCTTCCATATGTACCTTGCGTCACCCACGTTGCAGCACTGCCTCAGGCATCTGCTCCCATAGCTCCCATAACCATCATACCTCCTCCACAATAATGCCATCATTAGCCCAGGAACATAGATATGCACAACTTCATGGTCTTGGACTCTGCAGAGTGTCATGAAACCAAGGAGCTGCTCCTTCCTGAATCTCCTACTTAATGTTGTTGTGGATAGCAGGTATGGTATAAAGCATATCATTCAAGACTATGCAAACCCTCAACAAATTGCATTAAAATGGGAGGGGGTCACATTAATAACAATATATTGTTGCTTAGAAAAATCCCCATACATTCCCACCTATTGTGAGGAATGCAGCTAAGTTTAAAGGGGGTAGGAAGCCTGAGGTTGGGAGTGACAGGTTATGTTATCACCCTGCTAACCGAAAGATCCTACAGAACATAATTATTAAAGAGGATATCTGTGGTGCAGAGCCTAGTTCCAATTAAACCCCAGATTGGATTCACTATTCCACCAGCAAGCCACCAGCTGCCAGAGAGGACAATTGAGTATCTGCTTCCCACTCAGTTTAATAGTAGGTAATCTACATGTAAACTATAGGTTAAATAATATAAACATAATTTTGAACTACAACTTTTTTGGACTGCATGTCCACTGGCCACACTGGCGGGAGAGCCTGGGTCATAGTCCAAAAAGGACTGTATGAAGATAGTATACAAGATAGAAAATGAAAGAGGAGCTGGATAGCCTCAAGTAAAATAAGCAAAATCCATGCCTGAGTGTTTTCATACTGAGATATAATGAAAAGACATACTGGCCAGATGAAACAGTCTGTGCAGGAGACTGTACTGCAAGAACAGGGTCCCAAATGGCACTTGATCCTAGCCAAGGAGGTGGCATGGACCTTAGTGTTTCACTTATCCCCCTGAACCTGCCAACTAGGATGGGTGCTGATTGAGAACAGTTGCTCTTTCACTGTTGCAGAAAACATAGATTAGTTCTTGTATACTTTCTATATTCCATGCTGGTAACAGAAATGCAGATCTACTGCTTACATCTTGAAGACACAACTGATTTGATTTGGGAAGATGTTTTGTTTAATATTGCTTTTAATTAGAGTCAAATATCTAAAGCTACAGTTACTAAATAAGGCACAACTAATAAAGAACATGGTGGCTCTATCTTACAATTGCATGTTTCTTAACATTATTTGCTTTAAAACAACGACTGTGGGTGATACATTTTGTGATCTGTGCATTCAATATCTGTACTTTGCCATTGTGCTACTATGCATATTTCTTTTTAGCCTACAGCAATGATTTTGAAAATGTCAAGTGTGCTACTATTGCCATTATTTGGAAATGTGCACACCCAGCTACTTTAATTCTTTTTAGGCATGTGGTCTCTGTGATGTACTTCTCAAAACAGCAAAATAAACCAGGAAAATCTATTCATGACCATTCTCCAAACCCTATTACTCCTATCTAGCAGTGCCTTATCATCACTACTTGGAACACTCTATCCTATCAAAACCAGTTTCTCCCATCTTCCCAAAATAATCTTTACAAATTAGAGAACATGAACAAGAGAAACAAGAGGTTTGACAACAATCTTGTTACTAAATATTAAAGGAAGACTTCCTCCCAGCTTGTAGCAGTGCCAACCCTGAACAAACCTACCCTATACACACTGCTGTTCTGTGATAAGGGCATCTTGATGAAAAGATGACATCCAATGAGGATGAACTTTGAAACCTCTCCAAAAATAATGGGACAGTTCATGCCACTAGTAGTTACTTGAACATCATAGACTCCAGAAGCACATTGCTAGTCTTTGTAGGCATGATCCATGCAATCATGCTAGAGAGTTGCTGCAATCACATAAACTGATCCAGTCAGCAACTCAAAACTGTCCCAATCCTCTTGTTGATCTCATTAGATATGGGACACTGACTCACACTTGTGTGCTGCATTAGATGAGAAGCCAAATAGCAGAGGTGAGGAACAGGTGGCTCTGCAGATTTTGGC